ATTCTTGTACTGCAATATCTTTGAATGTTACGAGCAGTAAAAATGGCAATTTTTCATTAGTTTAATAAGTTTCATTTTTATACAAAAATTTCATTTGCTTTTATTTTGCTCCCTCCTGTGTGCTGTGTAGGAAGTGGAAGGTAAAAATGCCACAAGATGAAAAGAATATTAAATTATTTATTACATCCTCACACATTATTCGACACATAAATTGTTCTTCTCATATTTTTTTCGGTTCCATTATTTGATAGATTATTGAAAGGCAAGCTAAAGTTCAGGAATAACTCGTGAGGAAAATAAATAAGAGGATATAAAGAGATGAAGAAAAATTCAATTAGTAATAGTCTCACGAGAAATCCTTCAATCTATAAATCCCCTTTAAGACTGTCCACTTGACACAACCATAAGACGATTTCCAATAAAAACAAATCTAGGCGACATAAAAGAGGAAATTTGAAAAAGGCGGAAAACTATTTCTATCGCACACTGTTTGAGGGATGAAATGTATGGTTAAAGGTTTGCAAAATTATTGCAATCGGTGATAAATTCAGCGCATTTTGTATTCACTTGCCTAAATATTTGGTTTTTTGAGCATATAAAATTGTAACGGAATTTTAAAATTTTAAACTTCAAGTAATATCAAAGACACAAACTTAAGTGGGCAAATTTTTAAAAATCTTAGTCATGACACAAATCACGAGAATTTTCTTCACTTCAAAAAGTTTTCTTTGAATTAAACTCAATTGCACTTGCTTCAATTCATTTTATGGCGCTTAAGTTGATTAAAATAATAGCAAAAGTCTTTCAGAAGTTGTTTTAGATAATAAAAACGGATAGTTTTTCCCTTAGAAATGATCAATCGTTTGCTGCAGTTAATATGGAATTAATTTGGGCATCATAAGGACCTTTGACTAGTCTTGTTAATATAGTTCCTATTATGTCAACATAACTCCTTAAAACTCTGTTAAAAACTTCCATCCTTGGAAATTCTTGCAGATGTTCTTTTGCCAAAAAGCAAAAGAGATCCTTAAAATGTCTGGAAATTCTTTTGCTAATTGAATTACACGACAAGGAAAAGAGGAAAATGCCACATAATCCTCAACAACTTTCTATCCAGCAAATAAAAATATTTTCCGTATATCCAATTCTCTAAATCAATGTAAGAACGTGAAAAAGACATTATAAAGTAAACAGCTCATTCACTTACTTACTTAATGTCAAAATGATATAGCAATATTTCTCAGTTTCACTTAGAACAAAAAAATATTACATAAACTCCTTTCGGTCTCATGTTACATTATGGAATAGAGAAAATCTCCTAGCATTCCATCTTACTGCATTTTGAGACTATATATGGCATGCTTAAAAGGATTATCTATTTCGCATATGAATGAATATGAAACAACAATGAATGCTTTTTAAGGTTTAAAGCATTCCACTTTCTGGTGAAGCCTCAAAATCCACATTTAATGGGGAAGAAGATTATGAAGTGTTTTATGGCAATGACGAGAGGGTGAAAATTGGGAATGAGTGGGGGAATTAGTGCGGCAAGCCTTCGGAATGCATTAAATTTAATTTGCTGTATTTGTGTCTTTTATTAAGCTTGTTTTGTGGGGGATTTTGATGGGGTTAGGGATGTTGTTTGATGCAAAATTGTCTGAATGTCCTTTTTAAGGATTATTGATCGAATTTTACAAATTTCGTTGAGATTTTTTCAGTAAATTAGTCTGAAAGTTGACATGCTGACAGTGAGAAGCATTATAAATTTTAAGAATTTATGTTCTTTTTACATGGAAACATGCGATTTACAAGAGTTTTTACTTTTTGGGTTGATTCATTAAGACTAATAAATTTACAAAAGTCATGCGAAGGTTGAATAAATCTTTTAAATTAATGATTTTAAAAATAAGTTTGTAAGGATTCTTTAACACTAAATTTGTTTGATTTTAAATTTTGAAAGGGTGCTCAACTATGCATGCTTATGTTTTCTTTAAGGGTCTTCAACTATTGATTAAAATTTTCAAACTGTTGTGCAACTAATGTTTTTAAGGGTCTAAAACTACATAAATTGTCTGAAGGGGTACTCAACTATGAAGGGGTGTTAAACTACACATCAATTTAATTTTCTAGCCAAGTTTACTAGTTCAATCACAGTCTAAAATACTAAAAATTTCAGATAGACAACATCTACAAAATTACTGCGTTCCATTCATCCCTAAACCGCAAAAATTCTCAGAAGTCATTTCTTGGGAAAATTCCTCATTATAAGGAATTATTTGCAATTTATGAGAAATGTTTGTTGAGCTGTGCTGTAAAGCAAGACAGCAAGCAAATAGATAATAATCAAAAGTAGGGGAAAAAGAGAGAGGAAGTTGATAAAATTACACAATTTTGTGGTTTGTCTCTGATGCAATAAAGCCGAAATTCTTCATTTCCTATTACTGCCATGGGACTGCACATAAGAAACGAAAATTATCGACTCAAAACTAACAATTATCGGTTTCATCAAACGGAGAGGTCAGTTGATGATGGCAAGTTCCGAGATTTTTTTGTATTTGTTGCATTCTTAAGTAATTATGTGGTTCGTTCCGTGCCACACACACAGTTATGACTTACTACCGTGAATTATTTTCAAAAGAAGTTATTTTATTGTCGATAATTTGTTGCAAATCGTCGACGACTCTTTTTTTCTTTGTCAATCTTAATTATCCATCAAAATGAATGAAATCCTTGAGATTTTCTGCTTTTATTATGTCTCATTCATCGCCGCTGCACATCCATTTAAGTTTCATAAAGTAATAAAAAATATATTTTTTTCTCATTTCAGGTAATTTCATGGATTAATATATTTGCAATTATCAGCATCATGTGTGAAAGAAAAGATGATAAATAAGGGAAATACGATGATGAATTGCTGAGTATGTGATTTCACATTAAATTAACAATCAAGTTATGCAGCTGAATGTGAGAGAGAATAAATTTATCGATATGAAGGTAGGGAAACTGAGTTTACGATATTGGGGACGGAAAATGAAGTTTATTTTGGGGTAAGAGAGGAACTGGAAGGTCCAAAATGAAATTTTCTAGCTATAAAATTTGAAAATTTTAACGGTTTTTAATAATTCAATAAAATATCTTCGAAGGGCGCTTCAGCTTCGACTAGATTGTGTGCGTTTAGTTATAATATGTAATTGAGCACCTAAATGGTCTAAGTTAACAGATCCTTGACCAATCTGCGACTAAAATCGAAACCCCTAACTGCTACCAAACTCATGAATAATTATGAAAACCATTAATAAAATTTTCTTTCAATAAATTTTGCGTTCGCGACAACGATAACGAGATTACATGAATACGCTCGAGTAGGAAAAATATTCCATACACATTCTCCAAAGCTCAACCTCAAAATGTCTCGACGGGACAACACAAAATTGTTCATTGAGCAGAAAATAATCTTTGCAATTTGCATTAATGATTAAATGGATTGAAATTTAATTATTTTTTAATTTAATGTGGTTTTTAATAAAAAATTCACTGAATTGCAAGGATGGTTGAAAAAAGTCATCATGAAATGGAGTATGACCATTTTGTGTAGTTCGGTTACTTTGATAGTCTTTATGATCGCATTTAATTTCAATCAACAACCATCGCACATTACGTTCATGTTGACTTTATACACAAAATATTTTTTTTCTCACATAATAATATTAAAAAATAATATCAAGCATGGTCGCTATTCATGTATAAGTACGTGAACCATTAAGCTCACAAGGAGAGAGATCTACATACGTATATGTATGTAAAATTATGCAAAGAAAGTTTTTTACAATTTAAATTTCAAATTAAAATTTATTCCATTACTTTATTGGAATCTTGTAACTTGTGAGTAATAAAATAGCTTGTAAAATTCATAGATAAATGCAAATTACGTCTGGTATGTTTGCATCTGTACAACTGTTGAAAAATTTGTAATTTCCTTGAATTTAATTTAACAACTCTTATTTTGAGGATGTGAGATGTTTTTAAAATTGCACTTTGGAGAGATGTGAGAGATGATATATTGGATGGGAATATTTGAATGGTTTGTTGAGGTTTGCTGCTTCTTACAAGCTGCTGTTATGGTTGAATATATATGCAAATGACTCTTGCCACTTTTTTGAAGATAGTTTATGGAGAAACTTATCGAACTTTAACTTAGTTTTGTTAAAAATTGCAAATTACTTTTCGAGATGAGAACTTAAGCCACCATTTTGAATTTTTTTTTATTGAATGAAAGTTTAATTTTTGTAAATCCGTTTAAAGTTCTAAATCAAAAATTGACTTTTGTCATTGTAAAAACTGTTTTGACTTCTTAAGCTTAGAAATAGATAACGCAACAATTACTAAACACTACAAATGCGCCAAAGTCACGCATCTCTCAGCACATTGAACATTTCTTCAATTTTCTTCTTCTACTGCAATTTGTTTGATTAAGAAAAGAAATTTCGCTCATGATGTGCACGCGATAGTACGAAAAAAAATATTCCATTCCTGCGATGAGATGGAAATGAAGATGATTAAATTCACAAGAGATGAATAATGATGGCTGACCGTTTTGCATAGTTCGATGATACGAAAAAAAGAAGAAAAAATTATTTTATTTTCGCAAGAAAACAACAAAAAAGTCTTTCACTTTTGAGCGCCTTATCGTCATCATGTGTATGTTGAACATGATGTTCTGTTTTTGCGTATACTATTCTAAGATTCTCTTTATGAATGACTTTCACGTATTTACGTATCGTGTAAGAACATCGTGTATTTATATGAATAACATGTGTATCAATACAACACTCATACACCTGTGCGGCTTAATCAACACTAATACACCTGAATGCACCGTCTATAAATCCAATAAATACATTCATATGGACAACAAGACGTTGTTGTGAAAGAAAATAGAAGCAAAAGAAGTAAGAAGAACGTCTTAAAGGTGTTTAAGTTATTTTCAGTTGTGAGTAAAGCGTGATCGGAGTTAGACATTCGTTGCGCGCGCCGCTTTTCATGTTTTTTTGAGTCAGAAAAAAATAAATATAATTTTTGAGTGCATAAATTGTGAAATATATTAAAAAATATTTTTGTGCTTGACTTGGCAAAATGTAAATTTTTGCTATAAATTGAAAAAAAAAAAATAGAGCACTAGAGTGCAGAAAATTGAACGAATTTTTGTTGAAAAACCAATGCAGTGCGTAATAAATTATTGAAAAAATGTGCATATTTTACTATTGGCAAGGAGATAATATATAAAGCTATCGCATTCATACGTCCATGAATAATATGGAGAGAATGTAATATTGTGTAAAATGTTTGTATAATAAATTTCTTCACTGCTCTCTTTTGTTGACAAATAATAATAAATTTTATGGAGTAGCGGAATCAAAAAGAGAAAGAAATAAAAAGACATATAGTGAGAAATGGAGATGAAAGACACAGGAGAAAAAAAATAATAATAAAATGAAGTTATTAAATTTCACGTTTAGTCAATTTGAATAAAATATTGTGATGTGAAGACAACAACTTTAACTTAAATGGTAAAATTGGAGATGTTTAGACTAATTGGCATTGCTATGTTTGACCATATATGATAATAGGGGGGAATAAAGAATCATCTTAATAGTGATTTTCACTATAGGAGCTGTATTGTATTTCACTACTTTTCGCCGTTGCTGTCGTAATTATATGGATTTGTGGAATCGTTTAAACTGGAGATGGCCATAAAGCAAATAAATTCTTTGCAGACTAGAATTTGGTGTCGTTAAACATGATGATGAATTATGGTGTTTATTTGTGCATTTTTGGCAAGACAGAAATAAGTTCTAGGCTAATCAAGCTAGTATTTGTTTCTATACTCAATGTGTAGTTTCTGACTATGCTAAAACCAACCTCAATTCTGTATATCAACAGGATAGCTTAGCACAAGTCTTATTTGATGTGATCCATTCTATTTAGTAAGAACTCAATAGAATAACACTTGATGGTACAGCATTTAATGGGTATTCCCATCAACTTGTTTAGAATGAGAATCGAACCGATACTTTTATGATCAAAAGTTGCATTTCTTGCAATTGATCTTCAAGAAGGTGCTAAGAATCTTGAAATAATGCCAACTTAAGATATTCACCTGCTTTGACGAGGAGCTTTTAAACTTTCGGTTTTGCTACCAACCAGCTTCATATCCAAAATAGAACCAAGATTAAAATCTAGATTAGTTCAAGGTACTTCAAGCTATTTCCTTTAAAAATAATAAATTCCTACAAATTCATCATATCAAATTTCAACCTATTTTCCCCCTTAAAAAATTCTAAAATTCTTCATTTTCTGACAGCTCAGCAAAAACTTCTTTGGGGTCGTTCACTTATGACGTCCAAAAGTAACGGTCATTTTTCAAAAACCAACAATGGATTTCCTGAAATTTCTAGTGATCTTTTCTTGCTGATCCCCCCCCCCCCCCCCTGGACGTCATAAGTGAAGGGTCCTTTTCCTAATAAATTTAAAAATAAATATTCCATTAATTTTTACATAAAAATGCACAACTCAATACAACTAATTTAATACAAACGAGCAGCATATCCAATTCTGAACAGGTGGCTGTCATATCAATTTTTTTATATCGCTCATGAACATCAAATTCGAATAATGAAGATGATTTTACTTCAGTACTATTAATCCTCACTTTTATGCCTTCAGCAATTTACAATCTATAAGATTAAAATATAAATTCTACATATTGAGCATTAAAATGCGTAACTTGCACCATAAATCAATAAATCAATGTGAAAGAGAATTCCATTGCCTTCAATAAAAATCATCGATGAAAAAAAAAATATATAGAGTTTAAGGTCTATCGGTATATTGATCATTCGAGATTTATTTCAGATCCATTTCTTTTGTAAATTCTCAATCTCATTGTTGGTGTGTAAAGAGTTTTGTTGAGTTGTAATTAGAGCATGGCTAAAACTTTGTTCTTCTTCATGACTAGTGATCCATACAAGTATAGATCTTTAACAGAGGCGCAATTAGGAGCCGGTTTCTTTAGTATATCTTAGCTAGTGTGTTTGGATTGCATGCTTCCTTGGAATATACTTCAGAGACGGTTCCACAGAGACACAGAACAGGAGTCAAGCTCATCCCGTTTTAGATACGTCCCTGCCTTTAGCATGCCTCAAGCAGCGATTATCAAATTATGAACAACTTCAATTTCTTTCTTATCCATCAAAAATTCAGTTTGTTATGTATGTGCTGATGTGGTTCTGTCTACTCACATGCTAGACATAATCATGCAATATTCTATAAAAAGATCAAACTGTGATTTCATTCTCTGCGCTTTTTAAACCTGTTTCGTTGACTTCTTTGTTTAATATAAAGGAGGATTTTAGTTCGTCTATGAACGAGATTCATTAAGTCATTCCTACACACAAAAATCTGTGTTTTCGGCTCTCGTTTCTGATTCTCCAAAAAAAGAACCTAAAATCACCTCCGATAAATTTTTATTAATTGAAAATGATTTTAATTAAGAATTATTATCGATTCCAATTAGCCTTTAATTTATTTGGTGATGCTTAACTAGCTACAAAAAAACTTAGGTCGGTCTTGACTGTCTTTGATAATTTATTATCATTTTTGCTGATCATTCCTATCGTGGCTTTTTATCTCGTTGCGTATTAAATTTATTTTTTTCTTCTCTGGCATTCTTTGGTGAAACTTTTCGTATGTCCAACAGCGAATCGGCCCAAATTTTTTTTTATTCTGTGTTATTTTTATTGAACCTTTTCAATAACATTATCGTCTATTGTAATATGTGATTCCGAAGAAAATAAATTGTTTGTCGTTTAGGCAAAAGAATATAATAAAAAGTAAAGTCGCTTTATGGTCAAATATCGATCCACTTAATCTCGATAAAAGCTCTCTTGTCGATGAATGAGAAAGACAATAATGTTGTACCATTGTCTCTTTGCGAATTATTTTTTCTTGTTGTTGTCGCTTGAGCTGGATTATTGAAGGGAAAAAGGTGATTATTGTTATTCGGGTTAAATGGCTGTTGTTTTGAGCTTTTACGAGTGTCTATTGTGCTACATGAAGGTGTCTGTTGAGTGAAAAGTGTCATTTTTGGACAAAATATGCTTAATAAAACCGAAGAATGTTGAATTGAGCTGAATGACGCTGAATTGAGTTTTATTGCGCTTAATATTACTGAATTAAGTTGATTATTATTGAATTAAACTGAATGAAGCTAAATAGAGTTGAATGCTGCTGAATTGAGCTTAATAAAAATAAATATTTAGCTTAATTGAGCTGAGTAACGCTGAATTCAGCTGAATATTCCTAAATGGAGCTGAATAGCTCTATAAACATTTGAAATTTGTTCAATTTTCTCCACAAAATCACTAAAACTGCGTTCCAATAACTCACAGCCACACAAACCTTCCTACCAATTATGTTTGTTGCTATTAAATTCCTTCATTACTTTAATTCGTCCCTGTTAAGCTGGTTTTGTCGAGCATTCTGTCTCTCATTCGCTCAATATGTGTACGAGCACTTAAAAAGGAATAAAAATATTTACGTATGAATAGCAACAACATCGATGATATCATTTTATGCAATTATCTGTATTTTTTTTTCTCCTTTATTTAAAGAGTCTCTCACATCGGATGATGGCATTAAGTGATTTCTTTTTTCTCTGTGCTCTCATAATGTATGTAAATTGATGTTGACTAGGGAACTTTCCTCTTCTTTTCTTTAAGCTTGTTAAATATTTTTTTCCTCGTTGTCGTCGCTTTTATTTGCGTATTTATTTAATTCAGTCTTCTGTCTTGCTTAAACAAACCATAGAAAATTTTATTTTAGGCATACAATTTTTCTGCGCTACTTAATAAATGTGAGAAGAGTTGGTGAAATTTTTTTTTGAGGTTAGGGTGTTCAAAAATTTATTTTAGAATTTTTTGACTGCAAAAAGGTTAAATTTAAAGAATTTTTGTGGGTGAGACATTAAGTGTGCCAAACATTCCTAAACTTCTATGACCTCATGAACTTTACATTCAAATATTTTATTACAAACAATGTTAACAATTCCAGCCTCGCAAAAAAATGCGTACAATACATTCCATATGAGTCAACTCTTTCAATTCAATTCCAACATCAAACCCCGGATTTGAATAGTCACTAAAACCGCCTCAATTTTAGCATAAATTTACGCATAATTTAAAATTTCAATAAAGCACATGTCTACCTCAAATTTACACATTAAAATGTTGAATAATTTATTTTTTGTGAAATGAAAATGAAAAGATTCTTGAAAATTGAATCAAAATGATTTCAATACGAAACTGAAAAGAAATTTAATTGACTCGTTGGCTTTCATTTTTATTTTTAAATTATTATTTTTTGAATAAAATTTTAAATCACAAAGAAAGAAGAAGAGGAAAATGTTAAAGATAAAGACAATAAAGACGCATCAGATATACGAAAAGTAAGAAGAAAGCATTAAAGAAGTCGAAGTGAGAAATTACAATCGAGAGCAATAAGTGGTATAACACTTTAGAGATTTTTTTTAAGCAATTAAGCGCTTCACTTTGTTTCATCTCTGATATGGCAGTTCACTTTAACAAATTTCACATCACACGCATACACAAGACGGCTGTAACAGTAAAAGGCCAATAATTTTCATCTTTATATGCTTCTTTTTTAGATCTTTTTCCCATTTTTTTTTTCTCAATCTTATTCTGTTTTTTTTTTCGCTCTTGTAACTTCACTTAAACTGCTTAACGGATCTGTTGTTGATAGTAAAAATTAAGGTCACTTTTGGAGTTGACAAAGGCACAAGAATTTTTGTTAAAGAATGCATTCCCATTTCCAACTGAATTAAGAGCGGGTTTTTAAACTGAAGATGAGATTCTGTTGATGAGATGAGCTTTAATTTGATTGAATGAAGAGAAACAGCTTGAAATTGTTATTGATTGAATTAATTGCGGACTTTGTATAACAGGAAGTAATCATTATGTGAATTTTCCTCACCTTCCCAAATTTCTTTTCTCTCGTTTTGTGAGAAATTAACTAAAACATATGAGAATGGTAGCTTTTGTTGATTATATAATTGAGTAATTGCTGAGTATTTTTCATCTTTTCATTAATTTAACTTCAATAGAAAATTGTCAGGCTTTGATTTTTTGTTGTGTGTAGAATTTTTGATTCTGGACTGAATGTTATCTGATTTTAAGGTTTAATTTTAGAATGATTTAAAGATTTTAACCTAACATCCGTTTGATTTCATGCATTATTGAAAATTAAAGTCAATTTAATTTCTAACGGTTTTTAAAAATTTTAAAAAAGGAAGTCAAAAATTTCTCAACAAAAGTGGCAAAAATTTCTTCACCTCGCATTTTTGTTATCGAATTTTGCGAGCTAGAAATAGAATTTTGCAAATCTTTAAAGTTTTACTGATTCTACGGCTCGGAGCAAGCAAGAATATCATTTAATCTAAACAAATAACATAAAAATTGTAATATTTGAACAAAAATCACTTAATTTTGACAAAAAGAAACAAATAAAACTTGAAAATACAAAAAAAAGCACTCAAAACTCTAAAATGCACCAAACCATATCCAAAAGAATGATTTTCTTAATTTCCACCATCATTCTTACCCAGTTTAATTATGTCGGAGAGTCGTAATTTGATTGACAATACTATTAAGAAAAATTACGTATGTGACTAATTACAATTAAGAGATATACACAGCAGTTCCTTCCTCGTCTGTAATATTATGTTCTGTGTACTTCAGATGTGCACGGTAGACACACCAAAAACAGAATAGGTAAAAAACTTTTCCCACAATTGTTTCATTGCGATAAATTCGTTGATGAAGCCGTAAAAAGGGAAGTTCATTCATTGAAAAAAAGGCAAAGAAAAATAGAAAGAAAAAGAAATTAGTAATGTGAAAGAGCATGTAGTGTAAAAAAGAAGAATGGAATGAAATGCCAAGGGTTCTTGATGCCTCTTCATTAGTTCTCCAATAGATCAGAATATCTTCAAATAATAATAATAGTATTAGAAATGATGATGATGATGACATTTTGTAGCCATTTGATGAATTGATCATTTAGATTTTTTTCTCTCCTGCTTCACGAATTATAATGATGATTGTACGTCGAATACAATTGACTCATTATTATTGTGTAAGCTTCAGCATAAAAGAGGTTATAAGGTGCTTAATTGTAATTTTATAAGGAGGACATTGTACGGATCTCGCAAAAATATTAAATTCTTAACGAGTTTCAAGTTGATAAACATTCCGAAGTTGACATGATGATACTGACGACCGGTTTATTGTCGTAAATTTTTGATGAAAATGAAGTTGAAGTGCTCATAAAATTATGACTGAGGGGTAAAGTTTCATGATTTTTTTTACAACGATTCTGTACAATGCACAGAAACTTGAGGATGATTAAATGTGTTTTATTGTGAATTTTTAATTTTAATTTGTGGAATTTGATTTAATATCAGGTTTGAGTTTTGATGACTGCGCAGTTTTAAATGTTGTATGCTAATAATTTATAACGGATTTCTTAAATTCAAATTTTGTTAATCAAATATTTAAAACAAAAATGGCGTAATTTTCTCACCTCGCATTTTTATCATTAAAATTCTAAAACACGGAACAAAATTTTACAAGTTTGTGATCAGAACTTGATTCCATAGACCGGAGCAAACAAGAATCACACACTGTTAATAGTTTATACGCTATATAAGCTAAGACATCGCACAAAAACCATAACTAGTTCCTATGTCCAAGACAGACACACCACAAGTCTCCCAGCAAGCAATGACTCAACTCAGACACGTCTGAGATAAAATTCGCAATAAATTTTCAAGTCAAGCATCAACACACAATTCTAAAAGACACATTCATCACATCTACAATTTTACGATGAGATTTCATATTTAGAAGTGAAAAAATAAAATTATAAGTTGTGTCTTTCAAAATGACACTTTTCCATTATGCTTTGACAGCATTTCATACATTAAAAAATAACAATAATAATTATAAAATTGTAGTGATGATAATCAGAATATCTTGATAGTTAGCACGGTTATGAATTAAAAATTAAATGAAGAATAATTATAATCAGAATTTCATGAATTTCATTTACACCAATTTGCTATATTTTACAGCACATTAATGGATGTACAACATCACAAAAAATTACCTATTTTACTTTTTGTTAACGACGAAATTGTCAGATGTCATTCAGAATTGAAGGCGTTTAAAAGAAATTTCTCCCATAACATCATTTAAAGCTAATCTCATTGTAATAATACATAGAAAAACAATTGAATTGAAGGGAAACAAGAAATAGATGAGAGAAAGAAGCCACTCTTCTTGTTACGATGTTCAACAAACTGTTAAGAATTTTTATATTCTTTTTTATTCTCTCGGACGTTTAATAACAAAAACATAATAAATTATCATAAAAACCGCAGTAAGGGGAATTTATTATAATTAGATTTTTCTTACCATTTTCTTACTCTCTATTCTACACACTTTGACGAAAAGATTGATGGGTAGTGATTCCCGTATGAAGAGCGAATTACATGGTGGTTTGAATGTTTTTAGATGGATAATCATAGCGCTTTTTTGTTTACTTGATTGGTTTATTGGTTAAGATGAAATGAATATTATTCTATTATGGTTTTGCTGGATTGTTAATAGACTGCATTTTTGGCACTTGATTTGTTTTGTTCTACTTAAAATTGAAACTGATGATTTAGCCTCAAAGTGCTGAATTAGCTGAATGTACTAAATATATTATATTATATGAAATTGCTTAATAGTGCTGAATTAGATTTACAACGCTGAATAGTGCTGAATTGCGTTTACAATAATGAATAGTGCTGAATCGGGTTTACAATTCAACATAGTGCTGAATTGGGTTTACAATGCTGAATAATTCTGACTTGGGTTAAAAATGCTGAATAGTGCTGAATTGGGTTTACAACACTGAATAGTGCTGAATTAAGTTAATGATAAAAATAATGCTGAGTGTGCTGAATTTGCCAAATAGTGCTGAATTCACCGAATTCGCTGAAAAGAGCTTAGTTGTTTAAAAACTGTAAAATTTTAAGTAAATCATCACAATGTATAGTCGGACAAAATAAAACTTACATCTCCAATTCCATTTCTATTCATCCACGATCATAACATTCAATCCATTTGAACACATCTGATAAATGCTGGCCAAATTGGTATATCTTTGATTTTGAGTGATATTCCATAAAAAAATATTATTCATTTATATTTTTCGCTATTCTGTCAACAAAAGTTCGAGCATGAAGAATAAAAAAATGTAAAAAATGATTTCGTGTGGTTTTTCAGCTATTGAAATTGAAAGTTTAGTGACGCATGAAGAAAAAAAGAAAAATTTGAAATAAAATAAAAAAATTATAACAATCAAGTGAAAAATGGCATCGGCACAGACAGATTCAATGCCAAAAACAGCAAACTTACTTGCTTGCAAACAGTGGTGGAAAGTTTGCTTTTTGCATGGAAATCAAGAGAAATATTACCGACAAATTTATGGTAGAGCTGCTGCACAGCGTTTGGCAGGTTACCAAAAGGACGATGAAAATAATAAAATAACCGCAGATACGACAGATGCGGCAGCAAGTGAATCGAAAATCATTTTTCCAACCAAACTCCACAGTCCTGTTGTTATCGAGCATGGCACCAACGATACATTTAAATTGCATGATTACCAAAATCGACGGACACGATCATATCGTGATGATCCAATTGTGCCTGGAAAAAGTATCATTAATATCCTCGACGATCCATTCCTGTTCGGTATTAATGAAGTTAATGAAAATGGATCGGATAGTGGAATCGATGCAAATTGTTCCACTAAAGCTCCAATAAACTATCGAAACTCTAATGGATTTACAAAGATTGATGATTCAGTATCGCCGTTACCGCCTCCACGTCCACCTAAATCAACGTCTATAACCATGCGAAATAAGATGTGAGTAAAAAATAAAACAGTTTAAAGCAGATGAAGAAATAAATTTTTATGACTTTGGTTATTAACTGACGAGCTTCTCGTCTTTCTCATCTTGGTTACTCCTCGTCTTTATTGAAGGCACGATTATAAATTTCACAACTCGACTCATTATAATGCTTTAGATAAATACAAAAGTCAATGAATCTATGTCATCGTAAATATGTAATTAAAAATATGCTATTTGACTTTAACCTTATTGCTATTTCCGTGAGATATTTCTTAGCTGTCATTTTAAATACTTTGGAAATTATGGAGATTAGAAACCATGCGATTGGGGCAATTTAGTCAGATTTAAATGGAAATTTGCAGATTTTTTTAGGAAGATAATTGGTGATTTTTGAGGTTTTTTTAATTGTCTGTGATTTTGGGGTTATGATTACAATCAGGAACATTTAAAATTATAATTGATTCGCAGCTAAGTAGTGCTGAAATTGTTCAATAATGCTAAATTAGCTGAATGAGCTGAGCAGTGCTGAATTAGCTGACCAGTAATGAATTAGCTGAGCAGTGCTGAATTAGATGAACATTTGTGAATTAGATGAACAGTGCTGAATTAAATGAACAGTGCTGAATTAGCTAAATAGAGTTGAATTAGGTGAATAGTGCTGAATTTACTGAACAGTGCTGAATTAGCTGAGCAGTGCTGAATTAGATGAACATTGCTGAATTAGATGAAGAGTTCTGAATCAGCTGAATAGTGCTGAATTAACTGACCAGTACTAAATTGACTGAACAGTGCTGAGTCGGCTGAACAGTATTGAATTAACTGAATCGTCTCTTGAACAATGCTTAACATTCTGAAGATTACTGAATAACCTGAAAACCTTTTGAAATCTCCGACAAACGAAATTACACGGATACATTTTACTTTGTAGACTAGTTCAAAAGTCAATAACAATTTACTTCTTATTTATATTATACATTATTAAGCTCATAAGAAGCCTCCTTCCCCATTCAGTCATTATTATTATTATTTTTTGTGCAGCTTTCTTTCTTTAATTTTAATTTACAATTTTATTTTTATATCTCTTTCAATGATGAATATTGCAAACATGCAATTTGTTTCAATAAATCCATTACGAGAAGCGGAAAGGTACACATTAAATGTTGCATGATAATTGAAAATTACAATTTCATTCGTGCGATTGAACCTAAATGCGTGAAGAAAACTGTAAGATTGGATGTGGATTATTGATAAGTTTTTCACATATTGTATATTCCTTGTTGAGTAGTCAAGTTCAGCTACTGGTTTGTGCGAAACATTGAGATTTGCAAAACATTGATAAGGAATGAGCGAGATAATTTTCCATCATTAAATTCCAGCCATCCATAAATAAAGGCTTGCATGTAATTCGTATGCATATAAATGGATTGAAACAGATCTTGTGACATGTGTGGAATGTGTCTAGCATACAAATTATATATGTACATTTTTAGCATATAGCATTTCATTTTACTTGTTGATTTAATCTCTTAATGAAGTCCACTCATTAAAATTTCCACATCATATCTTCTTTTATGGGGTTGTTGAGTTATTGACGTCGATCATTTAGTAATGAGAATGGTAAATGGGATTTATACAGGATATCCATATTATACTGTCCTATGCCCTATCTGAACAGAGGAGAGGCTCATTCTCATCTATTGATAGACGTCACATATGAACAACCCCCTCACCATGTTAAATTATAATTTTTTTACTAGACCGATGCTAAATATAGGCATCATCACTGATTATTTAATGCCCATCATTGAATTATATCGATACCATACCTTTAACATCCCGGGCCCGTGTAAATTGCAAATAATCTGATATTGTTATGTGAATTTTGATTTCTCATTTGCTCATGATTCATGTAAATGAACATGCTTAAGGCTATGTTGATGATAATTTAACAATAATTTATGAGCTGCGATTAATGAAAGTGATAAAAAGTTTTCTTTTGTGAATCGATACATTGACATCTCATTATAATGAGAATAAGAATGTGCTGGAAATTGTGATGACAGGTTATTTCGGAGATTTATTGTGCAGTAACAATGAAAATTTATACCTTAATATTATAAAGTTAATAATTCTGATGAAAATAAGAAGCTTAAACTTACTGATCTTGTAGTTATGATATTGAATTTCATTAAGACATATTGTGGGTAATTTATGGGTATTTTCAAGATTGTAATGAGGATTGAGTTGCAGTTGTAATGATGATGATGGTGTAAAACTGCTTGATAACTGTCTATTAACTAGGAATGTTGAGAATTTCGGAAGAATTTCAATGGTTTTTGAGGTAGAACACAGCTAATGTGCAGCTAATTTGCTTTTTTGATATAAATCAAAGTACTGAATGCTAAACTATACTTAAGGTTTTGTAGCATACCCATTTTGAACATCATACATATGTTCTCTGTTCTAGTTTCTATTGCTTGACATCATTCCTACCTCAGAACTTACTTTTATGACATCAGATTGCAGTTTTAAAAATTCCACTCTAAGAAAAATAACAAAATTCCTAATAAGCTGCCTAAAACCAAACTTATTCTTCATCTACTTAAACAGACCAAATTACAATGTTAGCAATGGTGCTAATAATAGCATTCCAACACCTCTTCGAAGTTAGTAATAGGACATCGTCACTTAAAAACTCCATTTACTACCATTTATGAATTAAGAGAAGCACAACATGAAATTAGTGAAGCACACAATTGTAAAAATAAGCTGATGTGATGGCTCTGTAACGAATTTAATGTAATTAATCAAAAAAATATTAACTCGAAGAAAAAAACAAAGTTACTTGCTGCTTAATGGTCAGCTCAATTTTTCATTAAGAAATTCTGAGAGATTTATCAACTAAATTAAAAAAACAAAGTTGTTTGTGGATGTTTGAGAATTGAGAATCATTATTTCTATAAAATACTGTAGAAATAATCCACATTAGTCATACATTCGAAGAAAATATTTATGATACATAACGGACGTGATGGAGTTTTATTAAGAAGAAATCACTTGGCAAATCAAGAATTTTCTTATAAAATAAGAAGCATTTAAAATGTTATGTTAGATTGATTGTTCATGTTGATGTGGATTTGATTTTGTCAAGGAAATTAAAGATTTGATGCATGGAAGATGGTTTGACTTACATTTGAATTGAATTAATTTTTTTTCAAGTTCTAAATGTTTAATTTTTTACTGTGGAAGTTCGAATTTTTGACTTTAAAAGTTCGAATTATTTTAGTTTCTAAATTTGAATTTTTTACTTTCGAAATTCAAATTTTTCACTTTCGAAATTTGAATTTTTTCAGTTTCAAAACTTTAAATTTTACTTTCGTTGTTCTAATGTTTCACTTTCGAAGTTCGAATTTTTTACTTTCGAAATTCAAATTTTTCACTTTCGAAATTTGAATTTTTGACTTTCAAGGTTCGAATTTAAGACTTTAGAATTCCGAAGCCATTGAAAATTCAATTTAATTTCGAATCATTTAACACTTTTCATTTGTCAAAAGGCATGTTATTAATGATTTCTATCTAATTATATTGCTAACCCAAATTTCAATATTTCCAATTCCAAAGAAGCAAAAGAAATAATACTGATACGAACAATTCATGTTCGACAGACTTATCGAAAGTCTAGGGGAGTTATAATATGCACGTTCGAAAAGTTTAAATTTGAAAAAAACCGTTACAATTTTGTTGATTTTATTGGAGTTTTTGATCGTTTTGAAAAACATTTATCTATATTATGCTTATCATTAAATGACTACATAATATTTCATCTAAATTTCATAAAAATCTTACTTAATTTAAGTTTTAATTTTTTCCTAATTTTCGAAAATTTCGAATTGCAGGGTATGAAATTTCGAATTTTGTATGGCAGACAGACAAATAAGATATTTTCACAAGTTTTCTTGGAAACTGTAACGGTCGAAACCATCGAATTGTTCGTATCAGAAATAATATTTTTAGGTCATCAAAATCATGTACGTATGATAAGCTCCAACATTGTAATTTATTATATAAAATTGATTATAAAAACTCAATAAGTGTTAAATGTTAAACTTTCTTCAGCATCTTTTAATAAAATTAACGGATAAATGCTATAATAATTTATCGATAATCATAATGAATTTATTGATAGCCAGGTCGTGCAAATACTGTGAGTTTACAGATACAATTAATAAAAACTTCCTCAGATTTTTAAAAGCCTTCAAATCAGTGGATAAATAAAAGAGCTGTTGATTCAAAGAGGCAATTCAAGGTGAAATTCTTTGAAAAGATATGCTGTACATATATTTTAAAAGGGAGCTGCCAGTAGTTCGTTCGATAAATTTCGCTCTAAGCCATGAAAAAACAGATGAAGAAGAATGAAACAGAACAGCAAAGAATATTTTTAACTTGTTCTTTAGAAGAAGGAGTTAAAGTTATGCAATTTGTTTTGTTGATACAAAATTTACTATATTTATCGATAAATTAAGCATGATTGGTGTTTCGAATGTAACTTTGTAATGTCTTGCTATCCTGAATTATTATTTTACATCAGTTAAATAGGACAATATTGCTTAATTAAAGCAAAATTTACGAAAAACTTTTCGAAGTGGAAGATTTTTTTTGTAATTTTGTTTGTGTCTTGGATACATTTTGAATATTCATTTAAACATGAACTGTGTCTTCGATAAACTTTCAAGTTTTAACTGAACAGAGTGACTAAAATTAGATGCTAAGTAAGAAAAGAATAAAAAGAAACATGCCTTAAAAATGCGCTTTAATCTCCCCAACTTCCAATTGTTTTCGTCCATTTTAGTCCAGTCAATAATTTGTTGTTCTTGTTGTTTTACATTTGTATGCGTTAATAGCCATCATCGCATGAACATTAATTCTGTAGATTAGTTTCTTTATACAATTTTTTCCTGCATTTTACACAACATTTTAAGTCTCGAAGGCAAAGCGATTTAAATAAGGGCAATTC